CGACAGGAAGAAAAGTTTCTTAAAAAAAACCGGAAATTTTCAAAAAAATCTGAAAAAATATTAGGCCAATGCAATGATTGTGCAGGGACGAATCAGAAGAAAAAAAAAAAATTTCCCTCTGTCAAGAAGGTCATTAACGACATGACACCGCGAGAAACGAGGAGAAAATAGAAAATTTAGACGTCAGTTTGCAAAACCACTCACAGTCCACTTTAACAAAGAAATAGTACAGGCAATTACCCCAACCCATCTCTCATTGAACTGCGCTTGAAAAAAACAAAAATCCCAAAGAAAGAGCATTTACCTTGCAATTTTGCATTCTCTCCTACATAGGGAACAAATTCAGGAAATCCCGCAGGACGTTTTTTGAGAATTTCGAATATTGGAGGCACCGATGCCTTCAGGACCTTCTAAAAACAAACATAAAAAACAGTAAAAAAAATCTGTAAATTCAGAACTTAAGAACTCTGTTAGAAGTTACGCGAATTCCAAACAAGAAAATGTAGAAATTACTCTCTTAATTCCAAATCAGGCAACAATTTTACTACTCATTAATTGAAAGATTTACTACAACGAATAATTGACTGCACGAATATAAGAAAAGCACGTCACGTCTCAAAAAATTAAGAAACTCAAACTTTGTTAAAAGGCATAATCTTTCAAAATCAAAAATAGACAGCCTCCATTAGTTTATACAATAATATGAGACGAGACATGGGCAAAACCTCTCGAAGACAAGTGCTCAAATCTTCATAATCCTCCTTAGTCGGGCATATAAAAGCTAACGCAAGTGACGGATCCATGCTACTATAAGAAACGTGCAGGAGACAAGGGCAGTGGTAAGAAGTGTCGTCGAAAACTTCAGTAGGCAGTTCCTTAAAAAACGTTCATGAGTAGCAACCTCAAAGGAGAACTTTATGAAAAAAAAGTCAAACATGAAACTTACATTAGTTGAACATTCTTCCTTAGGGTCAAATAATATATCTGTTAAACTTCCCTTCTCGGAGTCGGGGTGCGCGTCTGGTGCGCTTTCTTTCTTAGGATCATATACTTCATCGGACAGATTAATAAACGGCTGGCAGACGTGAGGGTCAAGATAAACCATCTAAATAAAGGTAGTGATAAAAAAAGTTGAAGTTACTACAAATAAAAGTAGAAACACCGTTAAAACTCATTCATTACTCTAATTTCACTCACCTTTTGATAAAAATGGCAAACAGAATACAAAGGAAGAAAAGATGGAAACCTAGCTGAGGATGAATAAGGATTTTGAAGCAAACTTCGTAGAACTTTTAGTTTTAGAGAGCAGATAGTGGAAGTAATAAAGGATGCCTAAGTAGCTCCCATGACGGTACGGTTATGTTAACAAAAAAGGCAATCAGAAACAGGGGTGGAAGTGAATTGTAAGAGGACTAGTAGAAGAAAGAAGAGCGGCGTTAAATTTTTTTCAATGTTAAAAGAAGAAGAATAGCTCAAAATGAGTGAAGAATATCATATTGAAGCATTTGAGGTAAAAGAAAAAAATAACGTGACCTCCTCATCACCGATACCAATAAAATAAAGTGCATGATTCGGACGACCACCTATAATTCCAGCGCACTGCGGTAAGCGAAAAAATTCCTAAAAAAGTGTTCCTTCAAAACAACAAAATAACAGCTTTTATACCACTTTCTCAAAATCAATTAATCTGTCTCAGAGTGTTTTCTTCATTTTCACATTCTACCCAGGTACACTTTTTGAAATCGATAAAAAAGTAAACTAATCACCAAAAGATAATCAGGAACCTGGATAGCCGGTAAATAGCAACGGTTGATAGTTGTTAAACCTAGTCTCAAAGGCACAATAATCAGAAGTGGTCTCCATAATCTATTTCCACCAGAATCTCCATCTTCAGAAAATTTACTATTTTCCACTTGAAACGCTGATGGATCTAATACTAAAAAAATGATTTGCTTCAACAAATATTATAACCATTTGCAGGCACACCAAAAACTATTACTCTATACAGACTGACCACGATTTTCACGTCCAGTGTCAGTACTACTGAACGTAGCTTTTTCACCAGGTAGCTCATTTCTGAAATGAACATTTTTAATCAGCCTCAAAAAAGAATCAAAAAGAACCTTCACTACCCAAATTGTTAGGCTTTTTAATGCAGGACTAGTCATTTAAAGAAATAATATCAAAGTATAAAAACAAAAAATTCAATTTAGAAAAAGAATTATACCGCCATTCTAAACGGCGCTCAACAACGCTTCCGTAATGCCATAGCTTGCAAGTCGTACCTTTCACTACAAGACGAAGATCATAAGTGAAATTCATAACAACCAATTAATACATACTTAGCTAGCTTCGGAGGTTTCGAACAAGCCACTATTTCAACATCGCTTTCAATTAAAAGGTTGTCAAGAGCCACGTGGACTGCTAGTTTTGACCAGTCGTCGTACACAGTGAGTTTCTTCAGAACCTGGGCTACAGTATTTGGTCCGAACCATTCACCAACTTCTTTTTTTTCCGACACTCCCATCTGAGCTGTAAATAACAAAGATGTAATAAATATAGTAAAATATCTTTGATATATCTTTGATCAGCAATTTTTTGAGGCAAGAAGCAAATGAGTTAGAACAATTCTTTTGAAAAAATAGCACTAAAAGCGTTGATGTTGACCTATTTGGTGTAAAGAATAAAGCGCATTTTTATCGTCCTGAAACATTCTCAAAATCTTTTTGTAATCCTCTTCCTTTTTTTCGCGATTCCATATCCAGTTTGGACCAAGATGAAGTACAATTAGTGCCTGTGCTAAAAGCATTTGTCCGCAACGTAACATGCATCCCCAGCCTTGATCACTTGTTGGACCAGTACCACCTAAAAAAAATAATTGAAAAGTAGATGCACAATTAAATGAAATGTAATAGAGATCTTTGGCTACCAGAAATAATTAAAGTAAAGAAAACTTAGGCTTTTAAGAAATTACAGGTAAAATGGTTTGAGAAACGTCACGCATGAAAAAATGTTTAGCTACAAAAAAGTGGAGTTTGACAACACTTTTGACGTTAAACAAGTCTAGGCAGTTCCGTATATTAGACGAATAAACGATCAATTTAGTAACTGCAAATTAAAACTGTTCCTAGAACGAGAAAAATATAAAGAATTGATCCCTGAAATACCTATCGGACGAAAATTCTTCCTGTAAGTGAACCACAGTCTTGACATAACATAATTTTTAAGTTTTTCCATCTCTGAAACTATACAGTAAACTCCAAAATAAGGAATAAAAAGCTTACAAAAAACGGGGAGAAAAGAAAAAGCTTTAAAAAACCCTTTTAATACGAAGAAATCACAAGATGCTTTCAACTCAAATAAAGTTTCGGTGAGCTAATTTTTTGCTGTATTTGAAGTTATACCAAAACTGGTTAGAGCAAATTTTCATCGTTTTTTTTT